TTACATGCGGTTTTGTGTTCAATACTACAGTTGGATCGATGGATTCGCACTGCTTATGAGACTGAACCATGTCAAAACAGCTGTACAATGTGCTTCCCAACTTTTTCGTTCACACTTCATTTGCTCAACACACCAAAATATTTGCCATATAATAGAGTCAAATGTTGTACTGTTCTCACGTAAGTTCCACTAATGTTAAGGCGTTTGCAACAACAGCAACAATAACGAGGTACTCCGACTCTCAATGATCATAAGCTGATCATATTGTGTTGGTGTGAGATTGTGCGTATAAATCACTCAGTGTGCTCTCATCCACACTTCATCTCATCCCAATCTCTAGTTACCGCCGTTTATCAGTGACCTGATTGTGGTAGGCATTGATCTCGGAACGGAGTTACCGGTGATTCGTCGCGTCGGTCGACCGTTCCTCGATGCACACGGGTTGTGGTTCGAATTGGATGTGGCCTACGCAGGTGGATTCTCCGTTGCTCTTGAAACCAATGTAAGTGCACAGCGTCCCCCTGTTGCCTGCATCTCTTCCGTTTTTATGCCCGGTTACTGGTTGATTGGGATTTATTTTGGGGCATGAAGTGAGCGACTAGAACAGCACATCCATTCCTCGAGGTGAATTGTTTGCCAGACGGTGGGGCTTGTCAATTCTCCAGCATGCTCATTATGGACTGCCTTCTTTTTTGTCATTACGAAATTTGATATGCACGGTAGTCAGAGCAACAGATCCCATAGTCATGAAAGCCTCATGTTAGGTTGAGTACCGTTCACTTCAGCTGTGGGACTTGGAGTGGTGAACTACACAAGGCCCTCTACAGGGTTGTGGTGAAATTAGCAATCGTTCAAGTGCGCGGCCGCTCCAAGGGTCAATCAATGTTTGGAAGGGAAACAGCAGCATTAAGAATTGTTTGTCCATCATCTCAGCACCGACCAATTGCATTTCTAGTGCACACAAGGACGATTTCCACGACGAACCCACCGAACTCATTTAGTTGAGTCGAAGCTCCAACATGGTTGTGCTTGCAGGTGATTCCAACGCGCGGGTTAGAAAACTAAACGCTTCGAAAACTTGCCTAGGTGGTTGTTGTGCTCTTCGCTGACAGCGATTAGATAACGGCGATCGACTTCTTCAGTTCGGCGCAAACCGTCATATGTTCCTGTCCAGTACCTTCTTCCGACAAAGCTCTTGACAGGCGTCATCATGAAACTCCAATTGAACTGGTAAGCTGGCTCAAAGCAACCAGATAACAGTAAGGTACCGTTGAGTCCAAGCCTTTATTGGTGACGCTAGTCAATAGTGAATTGAGTAAGGTTAAAATGTGTGGTATCTATGGGATTAATCACGTTCCGAACATGTCCGGAATGGAGGTTACGAGAGCGCCGATGGAGGCAATGGAGAGATCAGGTTGCGATACTCTTTCCGTTACCCTGAGGTCCACGCTGGCACTTTTCCACGATAGCAACTGATCCTAGTCCATTATGAATTCATATCGACCGGATTTCTAGGTGAAGATTAAGTTTCTCTCAACTGTGTTCATCAAGGGTGCCCTATTTCGCCGTTCTTGGTCAATTTTATCGCATATGAAATACTGGAGAACACACTGAGTAGTCTCCGAAATGTTGATATCGAATGCATAGTAGAAAAAAGCTGCACGATTTCAAAGACGCGCAAAGTACACTTGATTGATTAACAAGTGCTGTTTTCCATTCGACATGCACTTTGCACCTTAAAAGTTGTGTAACCAATGACGGTAGCGTGTCAAAGGAGATAGCCGCCTCCATTTCGAAGGCTCAAGCAGCGTACGCACCCTTTGCTTAGATTGAAGTTGAGAGGTTGTGTATACTGTGCCACCGTTCGTTCGGTTCTGCTTTACGTTTGCGTAAAAGAAATCCGGCGGCTCGAAGTTTTCGAATATCAATGCTTAGGCAGTTTCATGCACGTGGGATGAAGTTAATGGGTTTGTAATATGGCTTTAATCTGTCGTGTGTTTGGGAATATATCGGGATAGGTTTACTTGCCCATTGAATTCAGATTTATAGGCTTCGCTGTTTGGTGCACGTATTGCGCATACCCAGCTCTCATCTGCTGCACCGCGCTTTGGGCGCTGATCGGAGGTAGTACGTTGAATGCTTGTGTGGTATGACCACACTAAAGTCAAATAATTCTTTTCTACCCTGCATAGATCATTGGTGTTGTTTTTACTCGTCAGCGACAAGTGGTTAGGTCATCAGCTTGTGACCTGGTAGTCCCGGGTTTGAACCGCCCCACCGTCGCCCGTCTTCCCTAATTTTGTATTTTCCAGGCAACCTTTGTATGGCCGCGGCCCCCTTCCTGAATGTTGAATGTACATTTGCATAAATAAAAAAGAAGTAAAAAGACTTTTGACTTTTATTTACTAGACACATACCAGACCTGAGAGATCGAGATTCAGACCCTTCCGCCGTCCCTTATGTTTGAAGCTGGAGTGCTTTTTTCTATTTGGCTCAATGCGAGGCCTATTCGATTGGTTCACCAGTTATAGGACCTCATTCGAACAACGAACCCCAGTTGCTCTATTCTGTTGCACACACACGCTTCAGGATGATGAACAGTAACAGTAACAGTAATCACGAGGCCATAGGGTTTGGTTATGCTGACTCCGGGAATAGGAATAGCGAACTACACAAGGCCCCGATCTGATGCAGGTGCTATTGAGTCGGACGACTACTCATACCCCACTGCCCACGACTAAAGTTGGACGTTGATGACCGGTTTTGAGCATCCCAATTCTAACCGCGTTATCCTCACCACCAATTCCATTCACGATCCGTTTATGTGCATCAATAACACGTGCCAGTTATCTGTGATTATCACCCAGTTCTTCACTCGTTTCATATACAGGTGAACCTCATGCGCTGGAACCAGAAATCGCGGGAATCCACCATGCTTGCCGGTAAGCGATCTCGTCGAATTCACTTTTTTTGCTCAGTGTGTATATGTTGCTTGCGTAACGTGTACTGATAAAAACACGATAAGCTGATCTGTGCGTAATATCCGGATCCATTAAAAATCAAAGAACAACTTGAGTTTCACAACTCACTTCCAGCCTACATCGACAGGAACTATGCTTTTATGGACATTCCGTTCTCGAATACCATGTATGCGTCATGTACACAAACCGAAGTTGATGATTTGGCGCTTTCGAAGTTTTTAAAGCCCTTTCGTTTTGGCAGATCACTTTTGTTTGTGTGTGTGCGTGCGTGCGTGCGTGTGACTAGGCTTAGGGCCACATCAATCTGTTTGACACTCAGTGTACTTGATCAGCAGGTTGATCACGAAGTGCTCCCAGCTGGGACCTGTCTATATGACCAAGTCCTCCCGTCAGGATTTCCATATCTTCATGCCATACTTGACTTTCTTCCATCCCACTAGTGCCTTAGTCAACATACAGACTGCCTCATTGAAATAGCCTTTGCATTGAACAGACGTTTGCGGTGTTGGTGACTTCCATATTCTTGGTAGCAACTTAAACTGCTAGACAAACAACACGTGTTTGTCTTTGAAGAGCTACCCCTTCAGCTGCAAGCTGTTCAACAATAGTTATGTCAAAACCCGGGCTGTTACGTCAAATAAACGAGTGCCTCCACACTTGTCACACAATAACTCGCCACCTTTTTGGGGAAAGTAATCAAGGTGGACGCGGTCCAGTCTAACTGGACTAGTATGAGCCGTGACAAACGATACGTGCAGCAGAAGTGATTCATGAACCGAACCGTATGACCCAGCGGAATGGTGACGGTACACTGGTGCGTCCGACTGCGGTACCCTAAGCAAGTCCCGATAGAACCGGAAGGAAAACGCCCCACGAAGCAGTACGATCCCCGAAACCCGACCAGTAAGGACACGGAAGACAGGTCTTCAGGCGAGATTGTATATTTTGCTCGACTGCAAAATGCTAAGAAGGCGGACAGCTCATCTGTTTATAAACAGTATCGGGACCGTCCATCAATGACCTTGGAAAGTAGTGAATCACGGAAAAATGGACCAATGGGATCAAGTATGGCCGGTGGTATGTATTAGTCTTTTTGGGCACAAAAATCTGTAAATTCACAGTTTATAAAAATAAATGAAGAAATAGGGGGAAATAGAGAAAACTAGTCACTTTTAGAGTGAAAAATATGGTCTGCCTATCAGTAAATCCTCGAACGGCATTGGTTAAGCGTCTTAACTAATCAGAACAAAGATCCATGATTCTCGTGTTCGAATCCACCGACACTTAACTTTACACATTTCATTTATTTCCCTTGACAAACTTGAATTGGTCACATCCCTCGTCCAGAGAATCGACTGTAATAATGTGGTATGACTTTTTTTTGCATTGGGATGTGCATGTTGTATATTTGTTACGCCGAATCCTTAGATAACAGTTTGGAAAAAATTGTCGTTCGTTTCCAACACTCATGTTTCACCGTGGTCTAAATTTAAAAAGAAATTATCACTTTCTGGGATACGTTTTTGGAAATCTTATGAGTTTCTGACCGATGAATTTTAATCAATAATGAATCTCTGTATAAACCCTCTGCGGCCTGACTTTCACCTGGTCCTGTAGTGTATGGGTATCTTGACCACCTCGTTTTAGGACAGAATATTATCGATGACCAGATACACTGGGTAAAATAACTCACTGTTGTCAAACGTGACTATAGTTCACGCAATTTCTAAACGCTTCGGTGTAGGTGTACTCCACTGATCCCGTATTCATTGGTTGATTAGATAAATGGTCAACAGGAATTATCCATGGCTGGCGAATGCAGCTGCAAGATAAATTGGTATACAAATTGGAACCCGTACCTCCGGGGGATGGGTGGAGTGGAGGTGAGAGTTGTTGTTTTTATCCACACACTTTCGTATGCAAATAGCATTTTTGTTGTTTCGGTCTGCACTCACATTTGACTCGTCGAAGTGCCAGTCGATTAGGAAAAGAGTCACGTTGGTCAATAATCAAACGCCCCCATTCTGCACCTTTTCCGATCAAGCTTTAGCCAAAACCATCAATGCTTATGCCCCGACCCGTAGTCCTTTTGCTTCGACTTTAATCACACCGCAATAGGTGATTCAGATCAAAAAGTATCGGAATATACTCTGAGGTCAAGGAATGTCGAGAAAAACTATTTTCTACAAATGTCGATCTTACAAAGCTTGGTTAAGAAGTAGATTACGGGGGTCGCAGACTGGACTACATGTTGATTGAAGAGGGTTTAACCGATGTGCCCGTGTCGCGATCCCGTATATTTGTGTTTATGTATCCATTTCTCATGGACGGAGTTCACTTTAAGTGGAGATGCGGAACGGTAAGCATTAAGTTTTTTGTGGTATCACTTTTTGATTCATATCCGGATTTTCCAACGCAAAACCATGTACCGTTTCAGGTACATTTGATATTTTTACTGGCATGAATATCGCACGTTAAACAGAAACACTGAAGCTGTTTCAGATATGTCAGATGGTTTGATGATACGGGCACATCGGTTAACCCTTCTCCAGTTAAGATGTGATGCAGTGTCCGACTCCCACACCTTATTTCTAAGGGTCTACGGGTCGAAGCTAAAGGATTGTGGGCGTTGGCTAATGCTCGATGGGAAAAGGTGTAGTAACAACGGAATACGAGGCTATATGAGTTACAAAATTAACCACTATTAATCGCTAATCCGATCATGATGTTTTTTCATTTGGTTTCCAGATGACCTGTCTTCTACTTCACCACCACCTGCTGCTGCTGTTTACTGGCATGAATATCGCACGTTAAACAGAAACACTGAAGCTGTTTCAGATATGTCAGATGGTTTGATGATACGGGCACATCGGTTAACCCTTCTCCAGTTAAGATGTGATGCAGTGTCCGACTCCCACACCTTATTTCTAAGGGTCTACGGGTCGAAGCTAAAGGATTGTGGGCGTTGGCTAATGCTCGATGGGAAAAGGTGTAGTAACAACGGAATACGAGGCTATATGAGTTACAAAATTAACCACTATTAATCGCTAATCCGATCATGATGTTTTTTCATTTGGTTTCCAGATGACCTGTCTTCTACTTCACCACCACCTGCTGCTGCTGTGATCCCATCGGATCCGAATTTGAACTCATTCGTACGCCGGTCGAACAGGTTGGGTGCGTTTCTGTCTGACGAGGAAGACAGTGCGGATTCCACCACCGATTCCGATTCGGCCATAGAACCGCTTCAGCCACCCGGTAGAGGCCCCCCTGGTTTGCGACGATCTAGCGGTTCAGGTCGGCTACTGGCCTCATCCATCGGTCTTGTCGGTTTGTCCAATCGAAGTGTAGAAGAAGATCGTGCTCCCAGCTTGGAGAGGTAAGCGATAAGTTTTTGTCAAACTTATTTTTCTGTGCTCGTGTTCATCATCCGTAGTCGATCCGGTCAACTGCCAGCGCTTATTGCTCGTTTTCGATGGTGTATAGGTCATGTCAACAGCTGTCTTTTTTAATTCACACTGACAAGTTTTTCGATCGAACCGAATATTGATTATCATTAACCTGTCCATTTTCTTTAACCAGTCCTGAAAACTTTATTTTTTATCGAAGCTTTTCACTCTCCCGATTATTTTCCACACACACACGTTCCACGGATTGCTGCTATTGTTAGAGGGACTCGGTTGAACATGTTTTCGGTAATGCGCATGAAATTAAGAAAGAAAAAAATCACTTCACGTCCATACTTTCTCTCTCTGTCAGTTATTACATTAGTTCTCCAACGAATTCGTTATGGTTAGGGTGAGTATCTTCGGTTTCGGCTACTAGCCCTTCCCTTGCACATCACGAAGTGCTCTTATAAACCAAGCGTCTCAAGCAGCCTCTGCTGAGGAAGCTCTACTGACTGCCTTCTCGTGGGGCGGAGGGGATTTTTCTACCAAGTTGAGGGGACGAAGAGCCAATATCCGCGGTTATAACCGAGTCGGTAAACCACTGACAGTTCACTTAGGGTAGTTGGTTAAAACACTGGGTGTCGTAAACAGTGGCGTTCGTGCATCTCCTCAATTTCTTTCCAACCTTAGACCACTGAAATTCTCCATTTTCTTTCTGAATCCACTTTCAACTTTCCTTTCTTCTCCTATTCTTCATCCCAATGGGCAGCCAAAAGACACTCCACTTTCAACTTTCCTCTCTTCTCCTATTCTTCATCTCAATGGGCAGCCAAAAGACAGCAACCAAAACCGGCGCACGAATAGGCATGGTTAATGGTTGTTCAAACTAAACTCAACTAAACTGATCTCAAACCAACCAAGAATAGGCGTTCGAACCACAAGCACGCCTTCTAGCTTGTGGCAGTGGTCACCGGCTTAATTGGGCACCTAGCTATCACGACGAAACTACACCGTGACTTGGTGTGATGGCTTGTGCACCCCTCTGACCCAACGAGCTACACACAATGGCTTTTGTCAAGTCAAAGATCTAATCATGCCTTGAAGGTCGCACAAAGTCCAGTCTCCTGGTCCTCCGGGTTGGGGGTTCGACTAGAATTTGCGTTTCAGTGAGCAAAACATGATAGAGGAGTAATGGATCCGAGTAAATGGGCCTCCACTTCACTTCACCCTCTGCCTTACGGTTA